AAATAAATGAAAAGTAAGCAACTGAGCATCCTATTCGCAACCCTCTTGTGGATCGAGATTTGGATCTTGGTCCTCTTGATCTGAAATGGTTAATGAAAGAGTGAGGTACAATAACCCAGTAAGAATGTCACACTACTCACCAATACAGAAATGAAAGTTGATAAAAATTATAAAAATAATTAATATAGCTCTTAATTTAAGTAAATTTATTTATCATAAATAAAATCATTTATTACATACTTACTGTAGCGAATTTTCAAAATCGACCTATAGAAGCAATAACACAAACAATCTCATATTCAATTAATTAGAACAACAACTTTCCCTTTTTATCTGCCTACTGGTTTCTATGGGGGTCCATAGGGATGTCCCCACTCCGCGTGAACCCTTATTCAACATTGTCAACTAACCAGCCGTTCTCATACTCCGTCTGGTATGAGCATAAAAAATTCTATCCCTCAGTATCCCGTCTGGTATGAGGGTGAAACGGGTGGTCCCTATACCCCGTCCGGTATGAGTGCCAAAATATCAATCCTTGATACCCCGTCCGGTATGAGACAACGTTCACGGTAGAATTTTCTATGTACCCGATCCATTCACCATCTTCCAAGATATCCAGTAAGGCTACCATTCATTCATTCACTTAATCAAACAATTACCCATTTATATTTAATTTCTAGTTTCATAATTTAACTGTAAATCACGTAAAACAAGTAAAACATGCATCAAGGAAACACAACTGAATCATGTTACCAACTCCAGCATATTATTATGCATTTAAAACTGTAAAATCAATCAATCAGTTAAAACAAGATAAACAATGATAAATAACCAGTTCCGACTCCATTAGTAACCTATAATTAATTATTGAAATTTTTTAAATTACACAAAATAACGTATTATTTATAATTAAACTTCAATTCTATAACAGAAAATAAAGTGATGGATTCTTACCCGAATCGGTGTCCGAAAAACTAAACTTTTAGTTGTGCCTACTAGCGGTCTCTAGGTTCCCTGAATTTTCATTCGAATATTAAAACATACTTCAACTATCTAGAAATACCCAAAAATCCAAAATCGGTGTTAAAAAATTTTTTCAGCCAATTTTAGAATTTCGGCACGGCAACACCGCTGTGCTCCAGCGATGGCACCACCACCCTCGGTGGTGGTTTGCCTTGGAATGACCGATTTTATATTCATCATTGCGAGAAAATACGTTAAGGAGTCTCGGTTGGCCGAAAAAAGTCTAAAAATAGAAACTTATCAGTGGCAGGGTTTTCTGGTGCGGTGGCTCCGTCGGCTCACCTTCGCGGTTGGATGTTTTTCTTCAGTCAACCTGTAGGAAACAGAATGGTGAATACAATGGTGAAAAAATCGCACGAAACAAAAATCGGAAAGGACCTCATCGGAAGTAATTTTTAGTTTTTCCTACGGCGGCGGTGTCGGACTTTACCCATAGTTTTTGGCTCATTCACCGATCCTTTTACTCTGATTTGGCCATGAGGTGTTCAAAATCAAATTTTGAGCGAATAATTTTTTTTTTTTACCTTTTTTGGCAGTCGTAGGTGGCTTCGGGGCGACAGCGGACGTCGATTGGCTCCCTTCTCCAGCGACTGGTTCTTTTTCTCTAGCGGGGGGTTGGCAGCTAGGGTTAGGGTTCGGTGTGAACTGAGATATTTATACCCATATCCCTTTAATCTAGGTCATCCATCGTATTTGATCTCAATCGTCCAATCGCGTTTAAAGAGAAGCTGAATATGAATCGTTCATCGTGATTTGATATAGACTGTACGATTGTGTTTAAAGAGAGAACGAATGTGGGCCGTTCATTGCATTTAATCGTGACCGTTCGATCACACCTGAAGAGAGAACGGATCTGGACCGTCTATGCACACGGGAAAAAATTTAGACCGTCCGATTGCGAGCATGAGGATTGCCAGCGTGGCCTCCTGCGTGGCACCAAGTTCGCGTGCCTTGTCACGCGACAGGCTCCGGTTCGTCGGGGTTGCTGACTGGACGGTCCTACGTGACACATTTTTTTAAATTATTTTTTGACCCACAGTTTTTAAATTTTCTTTTAAAAATATTCCCTGAACCCAAATTTTCACATTTTTTTCAAAATTATTTTCAATTTCATCATCTGCTTATTTTTTCTAATTTTTATATTAAATAAAAATTTATAAATTTAAAAATTATATTTTTATATATTAATTTTAATTTTTAAAATTAATCCCGGGTCAAATTTCAGACCTGGGTATTACACTATCGATAAAAAAAAAATCGAAGCCTTACTGTCAGGGGGGGGGGTTTCCGGTGCGACGGCTCCGCCATTCCTCTCTCACAGTCGGGGGTTCTCTTCGGTTAACCTACACCAGAAAAAGATAAGGAACACAAGGGTGAAAGAATCGAAGGAAACGAGAAATGGGAAAGGGCTTATCGGAGTGGTTTTGGTTCACGATCGTGATGGCTCGGTCGAGCTCCGCTCATGTTTTTTGGCTTATCCTTTGGCTCTTTGGCTTCGCTATGGATGTGAGGAGGTTTAAAATCAAATTCCGAACGAGAAAGAAAAAAATTACCTCTCTGGCGTTGGCGGTGGCTCCGGTGCGGCAGCGACGATGACTAATCTTCTTCGGCAATTGGTTCGTTTCCGGCCACCCCCTATTCTTCTTCTCTGATCTCCTCTTGGCAGCTAGGCCTATGGCTAGGGTTTCTTGTGGAATAGGAGACGTGATCCATTCTCAGCCGTTGGATAAATCCTAGCTGAAAAATAAATCTGGATCGCACGATCAGATGAAATTAGGACCGTTCGATCGCGCATGAAGGAGAAACGAATCTGGGCCGTCTTTGTGTGCGGGAGGAGATCTAGGTTGTTGGATCTACTGGCACGCATATCGCCTGTGTAGCCTCTCGCATGGATGCGTGTCCATGTGTCTGCCACGCGATGTATGACGACCGGCCGCGCTGCTGACATGACAGTCCGCGTGGCAAAAATTTCATTATTTTTATTTTTATACTAATTTTTCAGATTTTTTTTCAAATAGGTCTTCCCTAATTTATACTTTGACCTTTTTAAAAAAAAAATATTTTCAAATGCATTCAAAACACAAATTTTCTTCAAAAATTAACAAAAAATTAAAATTAAATTATTTTGATTTATTTTATTATTATTATTAAATTATCTCGGACCTAACTTTCGAGCCCAGATATTACATTCTCCTTTTATAAGAATGTATAATGTAAGTGGGCATAAGAAACTAATACGTCTTATAGTATTTTTTAGCTGTAGGGCTTGTTTGGATTGTTGTTTATTAATGTATGGTATGGTATTAAGATTGTTTTGCCTTGTTTGAATCTACTTGCAAATACATTATATAATTTTTTAATTATTTTTACATGGTTTTCCAACCCATCATTTTTTATGCTTTTGCAAACCACTGAATCGGTGATTTTTAAGTAATTTGTTTTTGCTTTCATTTAAACTATCACCATCTTTTCTTATTTCTATATTTGGCGTAGATTAACGAAAAAATTAATAGGCATATACATCTTTTTCTTTTTTTTCTTTAATTTTTTTATTTAATTACATATATATACATACACATATATATACATAATATTGTCACTCGATCTTCTTTTTTATTTTATTTATTTATTTAATTATATACATACATATATATATTTGCCGCCTCTCATATTTTTGTGTTTTTTCTTTTATGTTATTTATTTATTATTATATATAATAAGGTAGAGATAAAATAAATAATTTGATTGAATATACAATTATATTATTTTATAAATACAAACAAAAACAACTATCAATATCATACATTAATATACAATATTCTCAATTATATTATAATTTTGTTATTATCACATTCTGTTATTATCATACAACACCATGTATTAATGAATTACTCTGAAAGTCGTTCAAACAAGTACTTAGAGTTATTGAGTATGTGTAAGATATTTAGAGTAATGCCTCGTTTATTCTTTAATTGAATATTAAAAGTGATTTACTAAAACGTTAGAAACATGATATTATAAGATTTTTTACATTGATTTAAAAAATTAGGTATGTTTGTACTTTTAGAGATAAAATTTTATCTATCTAGAGAATAAGAATTATCGGGGCACTAATCATTTGAGTTTTCAAATGAATATTGCACTTGAGACACGTATAAAAACAAGAGATATGATTATTTATGAGCTCACAAATTTTAATTTAACTTTGCATTTAAGCATTATGTGTCAAAAGAGTATATATATGGAACTATATAAATTTGTGATAACATGATTTTAATATATATTATTAAATAATAATTTAAGCAATATATTGTTTCTCATTTTCATTATAAAAGAATATTATTTTGCAACTAAAATTGCAAATTCGTAACTAATAAACAAGGGCATTACCAAGGATTTGCTTATGACTTAATCTTGGCATATGTTTAAGCCAAGCTTTGATTTGAGACATAGGACAAAGGCTCCGAACCAGATTAACATAAGATTTGGAGCACGATCTTAATTGATGGTCTTAGACCTCTTTGAAAGTTAACCATACCTAATTTAAGGTAATTTTTGTCATAGTTTAACAAGACACAATAGTAGTCTTGGTCTCTCAACACAAACAAGGAAATAATTTTAGCTTTGATTTCAACTTGACTTAGACATATAGTTTGACAGTAACTTAGTAATTAAGAAACTAATTTTCAATCAAAATAAAAATTAATGAAGTTCAACATATAATTTGTAATTTTTTTTTTTTATTTCCTTTCTCAAATAAAAAATGAAAAACAATGTATAGAATTAAACCTGAAATTGTTAGCATAAATCTAAAATTTATATTAAAACAAAATCTATTTGTAAATTCATAATTTACCCAGAAGACAATGAATCATTTACTTAATATATATTGTGAAAACTATAAATTTTATAAAAAACAAAGGGAATTTTATTATTATTTTCATTTTTATAAATTCACCATCTTGTTTTTGTTGCTTCCTGGTTTCTACGCCACTCCCACTCGTTTCCTTCCTCAACTCAGACACAACCACGCCCGCGCATGACAACTAATATAAACCAGAAATCCTCCACTCCCCCTTACTCTTTCATTTCTCACTCTAAACCCTAACAACCAATGCCACCATCTCTACCTCCCGGAGATTTGCGCCTCGTCGATCCCCGGATCTGGCGGGCCTGCGCCGGCGCATCCGTTCAAATCCCCCTTCTCCGCTCTAGGGTTTACTACTTCCCCCAAGGTCACCTCGAGCAGTCCTGCTCATCCCCTGCTTCTATCCTCTCCCCTCTTGCTCTCTCCAAACCTCTCATCCCTTGCATCATAGCTGCTGTCCATTTCTTCGCGGATCCTGTCACTGACGAGGTCTTCACCAGACTCCTGCTTCACCCCGTCTCGCCGTCACAGTTATCTGCTCATGATTCTTCTGCAAATCAACAGCAGCAACTAGGAGGGCGATATGATGACGAAGATGATAAGATCGTCGCCTTCGCAAAGATTCTTACGCCGTCTGATGCCAATAACGGCGGCGGATTTTCCGTCCCTCGTTTCTGCGCCGATTCTATCTTCCCGGTGCTCAACTACCAAGCCGAGCCGCCTGTGCAGACACTCTCTGTTACTGACGTCCATGGCGCTGTCTGGGAGTTTCGCCACATTTACCGAGGCACCCCCCGGCGCCACTTGTTGACCACCGGGTGGAGCAAGTTCGTGAACCACAAAAAGCTAATCGCCGGTGATTCCGTCGTTTTCATGAAGAGCTCGACGGGGAAGATGTTCATCGGAGTGAGGAGAGCCGTGAGATTCGGCAATGGCAGCTGCGACTATGCCAGGTGGCGGAACCAGATTGGTGGCGGAGTGGACAGAGTAACGGGGGAGGAAACAGAAGGGGAAGGGATAGGTAGGGAGGGTTTTGCCAGGAGCGGTAGAGGGCGGTTGACTCCGGAGGCTGTGGCAGAGGCGGCCGAGAGAGCGGCTCTGGGACGGCCTTTCGAGGTGGTGTATTATCCGAGGGCTGGTTGGTCGGACTTCATAGTGAAGGCGGAGGTGGTGGAAGCTGCGCTTAGCGTTTTCTGGGTGCCCGGGATGAGGGTTAAAATGGCTATGGAAACGGAGGATTCATCACGGCTGACATGGTTTCAGGGGACAGTGTCCTCTTCTCAGGTCCGGGAGAGAGGGCCATGGTCTGGCTCTCCCTGGCGAATGCTTCAGGTATCTATTTGCCTGTATTTTGTAGTTAGCATTTAATACTGGAAGTTGAACAGCTTTTACTTTGTTTAGATTGATGGCTTGATTTAATTGGTTGATAGTTATGACCTAGACTTTTAGTTTACGTTACCAATAGTTTACCTTACTATTGATAGCGTTTCATTTTCTGTTTGGCGGTACTAATATTTTATGCTGAGGTAATTCCAGAGATGACCACCCTGCCAGTAACTGTAGTTTTTCTTTCCCTTTTTCTATTGGTTATACACTCATCTTTGTTTTGCTCTTTGGCCTACTACTTCTTCACAAATTTAAGGTGTATGTACCCACACACAGCTGTAACTCCTGGTTCTTTTCTCAGTCAATATTTGGACAACGAAATCTTTCTGCAAGTCAGTATGAATGAATTGCTCTAATTCAAGTTCAATTAAATTGGGATCATTTTTAGTGTATTGATACTGGGTAGTATATAAGTTAACTAATTCAGTTTAAATGGTCCATAACTGATTCTAGGTTGGTTGAATTTGTTTGAGCAAATAGAATATTATAGTAGCACTATCAGATGTATGCATATTTCCTATGTTGCTGCAATCAAGATTGTGTATCTTCTGGACCTGGAAGAATAGTTGATTTCTAATGGAGAAATGTACTGGAAATGGTGGATAAGATTTGCCAAAGAACGATCTTTGCTCTTAGTTGCCTTGATCTAGATTACTGGACTTGAAATTGAAATAACATAGACTGGTTGACCACAAATGGCGACTAGAGCCGACTTCATTGGCTATAAGGATTTGTCTTGTCATTTCACATGATTAGAGGTGACTAGCTTTCCCCTTGTGAACCCAGAGCATGTTTAGTTCTTATGCAATATTGCAGATTGAGAAGATTTCAGCCAATTTAACTGCAGTCTGCAGAAATATGGTTTGTGTGGTTGGTGTTAGTGGCTTTCTTAATTTTTGGCTGTTAGGCGAGGGTCCATTGAGTTCTGGCGGTGAACTTGTTAGAATGGCATATCTTGGTTTGGGCTTTCTGTAAACTTTTAGAATTTTCAGCATAAAAAGCAAGGACGAACTAATGGTTGATATATTTTTTGATGTTTGGTACAGTGGGTCAAGCTTACCTCTATTCAGTCTAATTTCAGTAATGTTCCTGTTTGTAAGCTTTCTAACAAAGGAAGTTTTCTATCATATCCTATTACAAATTATTTGCTGGTTTCTAACTAATCTATGACTATTTTCTAGGAAACAAATTTGAAAGACGAAAGTGTGGAGCTTATCTCTATTCAGTCTTACTTTCATCTTTCAAATTTGTTTCCTAGGAAAATAGTCATAGATTCGTCAGGAACCAGCAAATAATTTATAATATGATATGATAGAAATCTTACCTTCGTTAGAAAGCTTCCAAACAGGACATTACCGAAATTAGAGTGAACAGAGGTAAGCTCCACCCATTGTACCAATCGTCATAGAAAGCAGTAAGTCTGTTTTTGCTCATTATACAGAAAATTAATGAAAATCTCCCATTTCCTCTTTCACAACATTCTGTAAATTTTCTTCTATTTCTTCTTTAACTTATTTTCTCCTCCATTCTCATCTTCAGTTCCTGTTCTTCAGTAGCTAGGATCCAATGAACAAAGGTCGTAGCATATTTTCTTTCTAGACATTTTGAAAAGCTTGTATCGACCTTTTAGTTTATTCTCTCTCTCTCTCTTCATTTTCTCTTGTGTTATAGACATTTTAGTTATACTAAAATGCAAATTTTGATTATGATGAGAGAAGTACATGTATCTAACTTCATACCATTGTAACTTGTGTGTGTTTATATGTATCTATATCATTGTTGTTAATGGGAGAAAATATAGGGATTAGCAGATAATGGCTGCGTGTTTGCATCAAATTTGCTCTAGAAAAAGTATTGGATGTAATATGAGCAGATTAATTATTGAGTCAGGGAGTGGATTGCAGTTGTATTGCTCAAATGATATTAATAGCAGATCCCATGTTTCATTTTTCAAGTATTTTGAGCTTTAGTCAGAAATTTTTATTTTTGTCTGCCAAAAATGATAAGAATTTCCTCAGGTCCTTTCTTTTGGTCATGTTATTTGTCACGTGATTTATTATGTATCCGGTGCTTTCTTTTTATACTTTTTGTTTTCCTTTTATTTCAGCTGTATGTCTTATCTGCTGTCTTTTTTATAATATTCCCTCCCCTACCGTAATATAGTTTCTTTTTCTATTAAAAAAACAATTGTCTGAGGTCCACTTCTTGACCTAAAATTTTAGTTGGTAAGGCATGTATTTTCTTATGCCTTCAAAAAACTTTTTGTTTAGTCTTTGCATCATTTGCTTTACTTGTATCATCTTGGGAGGGAATTTGGGTGATGTCATGAAAATGACCATGTGCAAGAGCATTACGACAACCAAATGTTGGCTTCTACTTTTAATTCCTTGTTATCATGTTTCCTCTTGAAAGTTTGTGATTTATAAACATAATGCCATTACTTGATTTTTTTTTGCAAGATTCTCAGAGCAAACTGCTCATAGATTAACATGTTAACTTGTAGGATTTTTATATGTGGTTTTTGTGCCTATAATTTCCAATAAATTCAATTGATTCATGATTACCAATTTTGTTATGAAGTTGAATAATAAAGGTTTATATGCATGATAATAATACAAGGAATCTTTGATGATTTTCTCAAGTTTCTTTTGTTTGCATCGATTTTACTTGCCATGTTGGAAAATGTGACTTATTTTTGAAAAAAGGTGGAGGGGCCTGGTTTTCTGCTGGGCATGAATAGCATAGGGAGTTATCAGTTTCATGCACTTATTGAAATAAATTGGATCCATTACTTTCAGTGCCTTCTACTTTTTTCTTTAATTAAAATTTGTCTCTTGATCTTTATATCTTAGATTACTTGGGATGAACCTGAAATTCTGCAAAGTGCAAAGAGAGTGAGCCCTTGGCAAGTTGAATTTCTGGCACCCACACCACCGCTTCAGACAACCTTCCCCCCAGCTAAGAAGTTAAAGTTTTCTCAGAATTCAGGTTTTGTTAGTGAAGGAGATAGTGAAACCTTCTTTCCGACTGCTGGATTAAATAATTCGACAATGGGGCAACTGAAGCCATCATTATTGAGTTATAAAACTTTTCCTGCTGGCATGCAGGGAGCCAGGCAAAATAATTTTGGATTCTTTAGTTTAAACAACTTCATGAATGAGAATTCCTCTCAGACGTGCACTGATAATTTCTTTAGCAACAACATGGTGGCGAAACTGAAAAGAGTATCCACTGAATTGAACATTGGTAGTCCACAGTCTGACAACTTATCACCTGACAGTCAGAGTAGCTTTCATTCCTTTGTCATAAACTCTGTTGGAAACAGGGGATGTAACTCAACAAAAGTTGGCATTAGTTCATTTCAGTTGTTTGGAAAGGTTATTCATATGGAAGAGCCTATTGAAAGTGGTTTTGATGGTGTTGGTTGCATCGAAGATGATAACACCAGAGGATGCAGTGAAACTGGGGGAGTGAGCAACCTGGTAGATCTTTCCTTGACCTACCCTTATATGGAACTGCTTGACAGGCTAGATGCCCAATGCCAAAGAGCTTCAGCTGTTGAAGCATGTTCCTTGTGAGCAATTGTTCCATATTATGCAGATAAGTAGCTGTACAGGTATGTTGGTCTTTTCGGATTTTACTTAACTATCCAATTATAATGTGTCCAGTATGCTATTTACTAGGAGTTTATTACCTTGTGGTCAGATTTCTAATCATATTTAGATAGCAGAAAATATGTGAACAACTTAACTTTATATGTTTACCTTCTAATATCCAGACTATTTGGATTCAGGAAAATACTTCATCCTTCATTCAGTATTCATCAGCCTAGAAACTATCAATATTGTTGTTATCTTAACGTCCATATATCTAATTATCTTATATTTCATTTTTTGATGTATATGTGGTTTGCTTGATAATTTTTTTTCGAACTTCTATATGTTCTGCAGTCAGGCTCTCTTCTTTAAAGATTTAGAGAGTGCAAATTAACTTATTCTATTTTCAAGTATGCTAACAAAGTATTCAGATCTTCCTACATTTTTCCTGTAATTGCAAGCCGGTAACTATTTTGGCAATAGTCATCCATGGTAATAATGTTTACTGCACACAGACAAGTTCCTGCTTACGCGTATTAGACATTTAAAAACTTCAAGCTTACACAGCCAGAAATTTCAAGAAATTTGCTAAAAAAATTGGAACTTTGAGAATTGATATCTTCTTCTACATCATCATCTTATTATTATTATTATTATTATCTGAAATAATCTTATTATTATTATTATTACATATCTTAACTTTGTACAAATACTTCCAATTGCGTGTCTTTAGAACCTGATGTTTTTGATCCACTAATCACTTCACAAATATAGCTTTATATGACAAATATATTATCATAAATAGATGTTATAACCCACTTTTTTATATAAGGCACAACAGAAATTAAATACACCTTGCAATGTCTTTATGGCAATATTATTTTCTCCAGAGAAAAACAGAATATTAGTATCCTTATATATATATTACTGATTAGTTCCCTGTGATCCCAAAGAGATCATGTGAGACAGCTTAATTTCTAATATATGTACAGCACTTGGAGCCTGCAGTGGAGAAGTGTGTGGAGTTACTCTCTGGCGTATTTTACGGAAAATATAATGGCTGGTCTTGATCAGATACATCTAAGAAATTTCTTTCATTTTGTAAAAGGGTGCAGATTAAAAATATAGGTCTTCTTTTGAACTGATAAAAGTACTGAGAACTTTTATCTGTTTTGCTCTTTACTTACACACAATAATAATGTGTGCAGTTTCACTTGGCTAAGATGATTTGAGAATACGGTGTGCCTTTTTTTTTTTTTTTTGAAATAAAGAATACGGTGTGCCTTTTGATGACGGAAGTTCAAATTTTTTTTCTGATAGGTCCGATTTTGAACTGATAAACATACTGAGAACTTTTTTGTATTTTGCTCTTTATCTATAAAATGCTAAAGAGTTTGGTCAGTTTAGATAAGAATAAAATGTGCATGTCCACTTCAGTTAGATGATTTGAGAATGTGGTGTGTCTTTTGGTGACCAAAGTTCAAAATTTTTTTTGAAAGTGCCTTCTTCACAGATATGGTTACTTTGTATGGTTTTAGTTGACTGTCTATTCTCATATTTTAAACAATTGTGAAGGCTTTCAAGCCCTATTTCTTTTTCCTTGTTGGCTTGCTTGACTAGGATGATCGAGTAAAACCGATGCTTCTTAAGTTGCTTCTTGTGTCCAGTGAATTTAGTGAGATTTTCCATTTTCTTTGTTTTGCAGGTACCTGAAGCAGGTAAGAAGCTGACTCCACGTTTGACCTTGGAATAGCAATTAGCAACGAGTGCATGGCTGTTCTTTTTTTTTTTCTTTGGTATGTTGGAAACTATGGTGAACTTGGTTTTGAATGTTTGAATCAGGTGTTTTAGATGTTCGTGTGACCTAAGCTTCAGATCAGTACATACTTTTCTTCTTTTTGTTGGTGACAGTTAGGTTGCAGTGGATGGATGATTGATAATTGATGTAAATTGACAAAAAAGCCCTACAACTGGTCATCTTAATGGTGATTCTCCAATTTCCAGTTGGGGCCAGATGTAGGAAATAACATTTGGTCGTGAAATCGTAGTGGAACTTGTATCATATCTTGTTTTGAGTCAGAAATTATACTCCTTTTTCTTTTGGGAGAATCCCACCATGGGTCTGTCCTGAAGGTTATGGCCAGCTGTCATGGTGGAAATTTAACTTCAGGGAGTGGATTGGTTTAGCTCAATCAAATGGATAACTGGAGACCTAATTAACATCTCAACCGATGAAAAGATATTATAATACAGAGGCTGGCGAGCAGCAATTGCTGCAACTTATCATTTCTGTGCATGCAAACGGTCTAAGAAAAGAGATCTATAAGGTTAGTATCAATTTCCAACAGACTTTTGCAATGTTTAACTTCAACGTGTCGATGATTGTTGCGCTGTAGTGCTCATTACCCAAAATCTTCAGTTGATGGGTAGAAACAGCTATAGTCTCTATGAAGTTGGAAATTAGCATGTTATCCTCCATTTTGAACTTTTGTTTTCTATAAAGAAAATTCCTATTTACCCTCCCTTTCAAATTACCAACTAGAGTTAATGCAAATTAGAAGCATAAGCAAATTCTATGTAGCAAAAATCGAGTAGAGAGGATGTCAAAAGATTCAGTTAAAAGGATCTCTAAATGATCTTTTATGTCCAGTATTAGAATGCTAACTTCCAACCTGAATCAATGGTAGATTAATAAATACATGTCCTCCTCCTCTCTGTCAAATACCACTGGGAAGATATGATCTTAATTATATGGCCAGTGTCATTATGAAAATAATGTGTATGACTGTGACAATTCTTGAAGAATTATCAGTATTTGGTCTAGATCTAAACATAAATAAAAGAGAGTTTTGTCGATTTCACCAACTTACAACAACTCTGCATGATTTTCTGAGCAAGCTCTAGTTTTATCCACAATGAGAATAATATAATTTTAAAAAAACCAAACAGTAAACTATTAAAATCACAAAATTAGGGAAATGAGGGTATAGAAAAATATTTTATTATTTTGCCACCAATAATTATGGCAAAAACATTCATATTTCATTAATATCATGTTTGAATAAATTTTAATAGTAGTTAAATTAATGTATAATAATGACAATAATTGGATAACAATGATGAGAATGACAATTTTCTTTTATATTTGGATGATTGTATATTAATGATATATTTTTATTTGGATAATAATATGTTATGAATGTATTTTTAATCAAATTATTAATTTATTCATACTTATTATATGTAATAATAAATGGTATATAAGAAGTATGTGATGAAAAAAAAATTGTTTACTAATATAATTATATTTGTATTTAAATAAATAATTATTACACATAATCAAATTAAAATTTTATATTTAATAAAATAAATAATAATTTGAGAGAATAAAAATAGAATTAAATATATTATATAAAGGTATAAAGGAAAAAAAAAATTAACATGTTAGTTACATACTATCAATTCTGTAATTTTAAATTTTATTTTAAATTTATCAGTTAGATACTATTTGTTATCATTTGAAATTAAAACAAATATGATTTTTTCACACTCGTAAAATACCGTACATTAAAATTCTATCATTCTCTACGATCTAAACATGGTGTAAGAAGCGAATAACTAAACTAAACTTGATTTAAAAAATGTATATATAGATGTATATTATATTATTTATTTTCAAAGTTTTACTATTAAAAGTTAAAATAATGCTTAAAATTAATTATAATTTTTTATCATATAAATATGTGTTTTATTATATAAAGAAAATTCTAATATAAAGATAAATTATGTAATAATTTAATTTTAATATTTACAATTTTATCTTTAAATTGTGATTATTTTTTAACTGTCATTTTTAAATTTTTTACCAAACAAAAATTAAAATAATTTTTTTAGAGGAACAAAATTCAAATACGATAAATAGCCAATTTAACAAAGCGCCAAGTTCCCTATTTGTCTAAGAAATTCTGTTTGTTGTTATTTTGAAGTTTTATTTTAAAAAATAAATCACTGCCTCTTGGAAGGGTAATGTAGTAATTTCAAACCGTTCTTCGTTCCCTCGAGCAGTCACGAAGAAAAGAGGTTTCACCGGAGACTTTCATGCATGCGTGTCCTCTTGCTCGGAAGCTCATTGTGCAACCACATATATCGTTAACCTGTACGGCAAAGATTTCGTTTTCCTTTTAAATTTTGTGTAGAAACTACCAAATCAATGGCTCTCTCTCTCTCAAGCCACTTTCCGCTGGCTTCACCCCTCTCTGCTTCCTTTTCTTCTTTAAAACCCACCAAAACCCTAGTCCTAACCGCACTACACCGACATCACACGCCTACTCTCTTAAAGCCCATTCTAGGGATTTCCCTCTCCCATCCCTCTCCAATAAATAACATTTACAAGAGGCACTCCTTCAATTCATCTGTCTCTCCTCAGGAAGCCGTTCCCACGGTAAGCTTTTATGCAAGTTTTTCTTTGAATTTTGTAGTAGTTTCTAAATTAGCCCTAATTGGATTTTGTTTTCCCTTTTTGTGTTTACAAATCTTGATCACTAGGTGTTCTTATACAAAATTATGCATAGGTATGTAGTTATTTTATTTATCGAGTTTTCTGAGTCGAAAACGTTTGGTGTAATCGAGATGGAGGTAAAGGCGTCTCCTTCATACCTCTTCAATTGTGACCCATGGAATATGTCATTAATTCTGTGGGATTTGAATTTGAGATCCATGATTTGTTAGGTTTTGCTTAATCATCCTAACACGCTAATTTATCAGCATAGTTGAGTGAACTTCTTACCAGAGTTAAAAATTGGAACAGGATATAGGTTTATTTATTTTTTCCCCTCTAATACAGCATGCACTATTACTTGTCTTGTTAGACAAATGACGAGGAGGGTATTAAAGTATCTGAGGGTGAAGTAAATAAGAAGCATTTATTGAGTTTGAAGACCTTATTTACAGCTTACAAAGAGGCTCTTTTTTATGGAGATCTGAGAACTGTATCAGACATAGAAGCCATGATACACGTACTAGAGAATCAGAAGAATGAATTGGAAGAGAAAGTCTCTGCATTATTGGCAGAGATAACCTCTGGGAAGGAGAAGTATATCCGCTTGCAAGCAGATTTTGATAATTTTAGAAAAAGATCTGAAAAGGAAAGAACTACAACAAGGTCTGATGCTCAGGGAGAATTGATTGAGAGCCTTTTGCCCATGGTGGACAGTTTTGAAAGAGCAAAACAACAGATAAAACCAGAAACAGAGAAAGAGAAAAAGATTGATACAAGCTATCAAGGTATATACAAGCAATTTGTGGAAATTCTGAGGAGCTTGCAAGTTGCAGCTATTGCAACTGTTGGAAAGCCATTTAATCCCTCGGTAAGCTGTTTCAATTATATGTTTATTTGTTAAGCCACCATCTCTCCACCATGCCCGTTTGTCTGGACTATGCTCTGTAATAATGCGAAAATAGGGTGGCTAATAGAAGCTATATTGGCATAAATAAAATGGATTTTTTAGCGTTCATTAATGTTGGGTGGACCCCCTCAGAAATATGATAACATAAATGGCAAAATCTGTCATTTTCTTTTGTTCTTCTTTCTAATGTCATGGGACAGAAAAAGGTCAGGAAACTATGCTGGTATGGGGAGAGTGTTGAATCTAAGTTTAGAAAGTGTACTTTTAGATTTCACATAATGAAATTCAGAAGTATGGTTTTAGAGGTTTGTTTGCTGAAGCTTTACATTGTTTAATTTGATTATCAAGCTTTAGACACTATTACTGCTCTAGTAAGATGGCGATTGATCTTAAGTTGCATGTTTGATTATAGATGTTAAAGAAAGCAGAAATAAAAGGAAATGGTAACTTCTAACTCCTCTTTCACTTGATTTCATCTCCCCGTGCCCCCTTGCACACCCCTGTGCCCTGCCACCCCAACACCAAATCAACCACCAAAAGAACATTGAGTTTTTGTTATTTTGTTGTACTGGAGCCATTTGCTCTATTAGAAAGGATTTAATTTGAAAAACTCAATATCAAAAAGGATGATCCTTAGTATAAAAAATGAGAACTGTTAGTGGAAACATTAAGATTTAATAAATTTCATTTGATATCTTCTTTTGATTTTTTTTCCCACTTTGCTTCATATTTTTCCATAGCTCCATGAAGCCATTGCACGAGAGGAGTCTCAAGAATTCAGTGAAGGGATTGTAATACAGGAATTGCGTCGAGGATTTCTACTTGGAGACCGGCTTCTCAGACCTGCCATGGTTAAAGTTTCTGCTGGACCTGGCCGTAAGAAAGTGCCAGGGGCCACCAAGCAACCTACAACAGCTGCCGGAGTAGGTGAACCATGATTCTGTGGTTGCCACATGCCATCTTCAGAAACATGGAATTTTTGTTATCAGCATTTGCAGTAAACGCGGACATTAAAAGAATTTTGTTTTGTAGCTTCATCTTCCTGATTTATGTTTCCTAGCTCCCTTGCTTCCTATTTTACATAACACGTCATAACTTGGTATTACACACTAAGGAAGCCAAAAGTGTACATTTCAACTGTATTAATCCATTGCTTTATTATAGAAATACATGATTCTCTCTCTCTCTCTGCTTCCATGTCTCTCCTTTCTTTCTTTGTGCCACCATCACAATGCTTTGCATCTTCCTGTTCTCTCCGGGTAAGTTCTTACTTCTTTAATTTTACTTTTCCTTTTTGCTTTTTTTTCTTTTCCTTTAATTTTCTTTCTTTCATGGCTAGGTTTACTGTTGAAGGGCCCACTCAGATTGCCAAGTATGATATTCTTCTATGTAAGTAAACCCTCTAGTTAAAACCAAGGTGGGAATTGTTAAGGGGTTCAGCTTTGCTCTCTTCTCTATTAGGTTGTGCTTTGTTTGGACTGCGTGGAAAATAAGCTCAATTTTTGATCCACTTTGAGCTTTTTGGAAGTTGTTGACCTAAAATATAAATTTTAAAAATGTTCACCTGACCAAAATGGTAGGCATTGTGATGGTTCTGCACTAAACCTGTTTGTGGTTGAATTTGAGTGGTTGTCGAGAAATGTGAAGGATCTGGAACTATGAGGATTATACTATTCGACACCAACCTATTGATTGCTGGCTGGCTGTAAAATTTGAACTAGTTTATGGTAAATGCCCCTGCTTTGTGCATATGTATATGATTTATAAATGTAAAGTTGAGATGCAGCAGCTTGGACCCTGAGCTTCTGGTATTGGGGTTCGGAAGGCAAAGAGCTGACAGATTGGCTAAATTAGCTTGGTCAAGTATTCCTCGTACACCCCCTTTAATTTTTTTTTTTAGTTTTTTTGGCGAATCAAAGTGTCTATATTTTTTTGCTGGGGAAAGAAGGATTGATCTCCAGGAATTAATGCTTAGGAGCACCAAGCTTGGGGAAGTTTGTGTAGTTGGTTTCCAACAACTGCACTGTATTTTTCTTTGTTTTGTGACACGGGAAGAATTTAATGAGGTGTTATTGACTATTCATATCATGAAAAATACTATGACATATTTGATTACTAATCCTGAGATCTTTAGTCCCATTTTTACTTGATTGTCTCGAGGAATTCTTCAAGTTCTTGAATAAATTGTCATTAAGGCTATGTTGGGAACCAAATCAATTTGAAAATCTATAATTAGTTTAATTACGCAATAATTATATTTAAAATTATAAAAATTGAGTTCCATGAAATTCTAACTGGAACTGAAAATTTTCATTTTCAACAAATTTAGAAATTTTTGTTCTGATTTCACTTCAAATTCTTATGAGTTTAGTTGTTAAATTTAGAACTCATTCCAACGAAGTTGTAAATATCTCAATTGAATTAAGTGTAAAATTTTAATTAGGCTTTATAGAAGTTATCAATTTATTTCTGGCACTTCTGTTATGAGATTAAATTATAAAATAAATTTTGAGGGTATTCAAGCAAGAAGAAGTGAAGCATTAAGCTGCCGTGCACTGGTAAATATACGTGGAGTCTGGTTGAGTTAACAAATCTAATCCCCCCACCCCCCAAGAGGGTATGTAGCAAAACAATCTGAGAGCACCATGACTACAGGCCGAATTAAAACCAGATACTGGAGCATTGAAAGATACGATATCAGGATTCAAACCTACTCAGAAGCATCATTGAGAGCAATCTGTATGCATCTGTTCTCTGCCCATTTCTTGCGTGACCAGCAAGAATTGTGTTATAAGTTACTGCATCAGCTTTGAAGCCATCACTTTCCATCAACATAAAAAGACTTGGCACTTCCTTTGTTCTTCCCTCATTTACATAAGCTGCAGTCATCTCATTCCAAATAGTACCTTCACCAGGCAAAAAATTTTTCTGTATAATGATCCTTCCACATGAATGTTTCCAACAACATCGGTGTGGAATAAGTTTCAAATAATAAAAGAACATTAAAACATTCTTTTTATTTTTTCTTCTCATTTCTTTCAAAATTTATCTTTATTTTCACTATCATTTCTCAATTTTTCTTTCATATATATATATATATATATATACACTTTTTCCTCTAAAATTAACATTTCTTCTTTATAATATATCATTTATGTGTATAAGTAATTAAATAACTTATGTATGATTTTTTCAGAAAAAAAGGATTTATGTATGATTATGTTTTTGTTCAAATTGGTTCAAGTACATAAAAGTTTATCGCAAGTGTGATAAAAATCATATTCAACATTAGCTTAAACTAGCCAACTATTTTTTTTATCAATCAACAGAATGTTTATGTACAAAAATGGACATTACCAAACACCAGCCATTGCTTCAGCCGTTTAAGAGACATCATTGATTTAGTTGGGTGACCTTTATCCAAAATAAACAGAGGTATTCTCCCGACAAAAAAATAAAATAAAAGTTAAAATACTCACTCACCTTCAACCCAGAGAAGTCGGTAATCTAAGCACCTTCACTGAATCAAACTATCTTGTAGAACAATGCCTACCTCATGAATGATCCTTCCATGCTTCAACATCATCCAGGAACTTGAATTGGATATGTCCTCCTAAAACATTTCCTCTGCATGACCCATCAATTAATAAACATTAAATTCCATCATAATTGCAAGCAAATATCCATGGTGAAATATATCCACCAACAATCTGTTTGGATCTTACAATTGCACTTTAAACTCAAGGCAGTTGTTATCGCCCTGCTAAATTTAAGTTATCAAATAAATTTGAAGTTACAAGTTTAACAAAAAAGTAGTTATCGAACTATTTTCCCAGATTCATGCATGCACTAAGTCCCCCAAACTTTATCCAACATTCTACGAACAAACAGTAATATCATAAGACTACTTCCCCTACAACTATTAGTAAAAAAAATGCCATGCCTTACAAGATTGAAAATAAGTATAAACCAAACTTGTAGAAGTTATTTTCACATGCTATATGCAGAGATAAAAGAGAAAAAAACCTTAATGGATGTACAACTTTGAAGTGATAAATGAAATAACGTGTAGAAGATAAGAATATAATCAAACCACAACCAAGGAACATTGATTTTATCCATAATTTTACTTTCTCTCTTTTTTGAATATTTCTTATAGGCTTCATTTCCTTTGCAACTAGCCAGAGCAGGCAATAAGCATAAGATCAATATAAGTCACTGTAAGGAGTTCAAATACCAGTTCTGGATTTACCAAAATCCAAGGTAAATTGAAGAAATCTAGAGAATTGACTAAGAAAGCTAATGTTTGTAAAAAGAAATCCTGACTACAATAAGTCCTTACTCATTCCTCCTAAATTGTGGTATAACTGTCTCGACCGTAATAACATAATGCCTACTTACAATTTCCTTGCTTTTGGTTCAATTCTCATTCTAGTCCCACCTAATTCCTAACTCATATCTTCATATTAGTTTCGACATGCAAATTTAGAACACAAATATGAGATGAAATATAGATTTTATTTCTAATTCTATAGTAATATGAAAACTAGAGGTTGAGATTATGTACAAATAGAAAAGATAATTGAACTAAATACAGAGACCATGAATCTTTATTTCATAAACCTGCATCCAGAAATTTACTTTAAAATAGTCTAACATAAAGATTTCTTTATAATTAGAAAAGGCAAGCCCCCTCCCCCGATACTAATGTCTCAAATCTCAAGTGAGTCTGAAGCTCTTAAATTCAAAGTTTATCTGCCAATCCAAAGTTGGAAGAGCCTGATTATTTGGTTGATGGATAAAGTAGTCTTCTGCAAGCTAACAGTATAGGCGGTCATACAGGACATGACTAACAGGTTAAGGTTAATCTGCCTACTTACAGGTTGCTAAGTTCACATGTAGTAAGAATGTAATATTTTTAATAGCTATTTCAATAGGAAAAGAATAAGATTACAATGAAATTGCAATTCTATTACATTGTTGGTTCTCTATTACAAATAGCTTATTACAACCTCATTATTGTGTTCAATTTGGTAGTAATGAGATTGGAAAAAAACTGAAATTAGTCATAAACGACTATCATGCTATTTTTATTATATTTGGTTGGAACTTGGAAGTTCATTTTAATGCATCTTTATAATTACATAATATAATAATTAATAAGGAAATTAGTAAAATTTCTCTGATATCACATAAAATTTGATAAATTTCATCCATATTTTTGAATAAGTTCAACAAGATTCTAATTTGTGTCCAAAATAACCTGACTTCAAGAAAAAAAAAATTGTTAATATAATTTAGCTTTTTCCTAGAGAGAGGCTACAACAGTTAGTTGTTGAGGCGTAGGTATAATTGGTATATATTAATTAAGTGATAATTAGTTGTTTGACATAGCCATATATTAGGTATAATATGATACATATTGAGGATATAATTAATTTAGAAGAAAAAATTGTATTATCAGAGATGTTGTAGTCATGATTCATGACCCCCTAGGTATGAATTACGATATTACAAGGTGCAATCATGAGTCAGGGAATCGAATATGGCAATAAGGTTGACCAATCTAATGATCATTACATTATAACCTTGTCGCAGGCTCATTGAGCAAAGTAAATAGGCTATCAGGAATTAGGATTAAACCAAGATATCATATCATATCTAGGAATTCTTAGTTATCATTTTGTAGAATTCTTCAGAATTTCCACGTTCAGGTCAACTAGAGAGGATGAAAATCCACTTTAAAATGATAAAGAATTACCTTATATGGAATTCTACATGTAGTTGGAACAATGGACTCAAAATTTAATAAAAATTAACTTCATATGAAATCATGTGTAATTGAAACACCTCTTTATAATTGAACTAAGTGTACATTTACAAATAAATTCCACAAGGTTTTTTATTTGCTCCAAACATAGCCCAAGAATTGGAACTTGGAGTTTGAAGGGTAAGATACTGACTAGAAAAGTAAAAAAACTCACACCCAGATCCCTTAAGCATTGGAGCTACTAAGCGGTTCAATTGCATCAAACAACCACAAATCATAAAGTGTTGCAAATTCTCCTAGTGATTGTTGTCTTCTCTTGAAAGAAATTCTAACTATTAATAGACTCTACTTTAATCTATCTAACTATGTCAGTGAATTCTAATAGTAAACTTAATAAACCTAGGCCAAGCTTCAACCTTAAATGCCAAGATGATGGCGAACAAAGAATCATACAGACAGCTACAGATAGGGGAATGAGGAACCTCATCATTGAATTTTATTCTCTCCTTGTAGTCGAAGCTCTTTACGAACATGGGGACTAGTTGAAGTAATCAGCCCACCAATGTCGCAGCAACATTAATCAACCTACGGGCAATATCGTGTGCAATTGCCAATGCAGATGTGGGAAGATGGAGGACAATGTCTCCTGCCAGTAACCTTGCTCCCTTCCTGGTAAGTGACATGCAACTGAGACAGCTGTGCCTGCTGTTTGGTAAACCTTTTTTTTTGGGGTTGCTTCCACTGCTGGCTCTTTTCCTTTACCTGTGATTTTGCTGCTTTCCCCCCTTTTTGTACCAAAAAAAAAAGAAAGGTAGAAAAAAGTAAAGAAAGAAAGAACAAGAAGTTCTATCAAATTTCAGCTTTTGGCTTCCGTTTCTTAACAACAGTTTATATTTCAAAAGAACTAAAAGACAAACCATGACAGTTACTAAAAGCTAATGAGGTTGAAGAACGAACAAAATAAAGAATACAAGTAGTTCTATCAAAATCCTGAAAACTAAAGGTCATCACATAATAATAAGGCATCTGACAATTACTCAGCATTTTTCCACTCACAAGCTCAAGAGGTCCAGCAGAAAAACTAGCTCTCTTTATCTTTATCAACTTAAAAACTCCATAGATGCTCCACCTTTCAGGTTGGTAGAATACCTCTCTTTCCAGATATTCCAGACAGTGACATGGGAATAGAAATTCTAATTCATACTAGTGTCCAAGTTACCGGCTGGTCTAAAGTTGAATTATTAAAATGGCAACATAATCCATTGGCCTCCAAGTGGATCGCATCGACATGAGGATCACATACATGAGCCACGGTACCGAATTGCATGTAATATGGATTCAAATCAACCTCTATCAGAGACATTACGTTGTTTTCGACAGTTAGACTATACATGTGGTGCATCTGTCATGAT